GCTGGTTTTGTTGAATTTCCTGATAATTTCAAATATATGGAATTTGTTGCTTCTAATACTGATGTTTTGCCAACAGATTCTCCATAAACTTTTGCACCACAAATTTCAAGTTTGCAGCCTATTTTTATTTTAGATTTCATTATAGCTCGTTGTAATGGTGGATCAATGCATGCATGAATCTTATACCAGCCATCAGTCAATTCAAGTGAAAATTTTGAATCAATAGGAATTTCTTTATTAGTTGATGTATAAGGGAAAGGTAGTGATGATGAATAAGAAGTTGATGACAATGAGGAAAATAATGGTGTTGATGACAATGAAGAAGATTGTGATGTTAATGGTGTATTACTATCATCAATTATATTTGATACACAAAGAACAATAGGCCATGATGGTGAAGTATCACCTTCTACAATTAATTTAATAGAAGATCTGTGTGCACAATTTATTTCTCTTTCATATCTATATCTTAATTGATCAAGTACTGTATCAGATGATAACCAGTCACGAAACAAATAAGGATAAGATCTAATCATACTAGTTATTTTCCATACTATCCATTTGTAATGATTCAGCACCCATTGTTCATCTATCAGTTTAGGATTAGCACCATATTCAATTAAACATGATAATGCTTCATTTGGGCCCCATGTTTTTTGTTGTGGTTGGGAATCTGATTTTGAAAAAAGTCTTGGCCAAGTGAATCTATAATGAGTGGCATTAGATGGATTTATGTATAAAACATCTGTTGGTATTTCAAAATTTAATAAGTTTTGTTCAGTAAATTTCAAAGGATGATGATATACTAAGTTTCCCATAGTGTTTCTAGGTACAGATGATGACAATTCAAAGAATTTGGTGCTAATATTATCATCATCATCATTATTATTATTATTGATTGATGAAGAAATTGTTGCCTGTGATGATAAAGATGAAGATTTTATATTTTTTTTATATTTTTTTTTATTGTTGTCATTAATTTTATTAAATTGAGATGTTGAATTTTTAATATTTTGTAATGAGTGCAGTGATTTGAGTGGAGTTCTTGATTTTAAATTAGATTGATGAGAAGATTTGATTGATGATGATTTATAAATATTTGAATCATATTTAATTGAATGTCGATTTTTTCTTGATTTTTTTATATTACTAGGTGTTTCATTTAATAGATTATCATTACTATTGTTGTTGTTTTTATTATTATTATTTTCAACACTTTTTATAGGTTTTCTAAACTTTTTTATATCATTATCTTTTAAAGGTCTGATATTTGAAGAAGATTGTTCAGAAACATCCAAATGCTTGTATGCTTCTTCCGTTGATTCTTTTGATACAGGATTAATTCCTCTTCTAGAACCAGTGGAAAATCCAGATATTCCCAAAATATTATTTGATATATTATTGGAATTAATAGATGGTGATGACGATTGGGTGGGAATGTCCAAACATTTGTATGCTTTTTCCATTGATTCTTTTGATACAGGATTAATTCCTCTTCCAGAGCCAGTGGAAAATCCAGATATTCCTGAAGGATTGTTTGATATATTATTGAAATTGGTAAATGGTGATGATAAATCAGTAGGAACATCCAAAAACTTGTATACTTTTTCCATTGATTCTTTTGATAAAGGATCAATTTCTCTTCCAGTGACAGTGGAGAATCCAAATATCCCCGAAGGATTATTTGATATATTATTGAAATTGGAAGAAGGAGAATGTTCAGAAACATCTAAACACTCATATGCTCTTTCAAATGAATCTTTAGATATGTTCACAAGCTTTTTCCCAGATCCAGTAGAAAATTCCGAAAATTCCACATTACTGTTACTATTATTGTTGTTGTTATTGTTACCTTCATCACCATTACTGCTATTATAATTATTGTTATCATTATTATAATTATAAATATTATTGTTAAAATAATTATTATCATTATCATAGTTATCATTTAAAAAGCTTTCATTGTTGTTGTTGTTAACATTATCATTATTCACAAAATTTTGTGACATACTAATATCATTGTTGTAATTGATATAGTTGTTGGTATTCTTATAAATATTATGAAAAGGTGTTGTCATTGTTGTTTCTTGCTTTTATAAATAAAATTTGTTTTGTAAATACGCGTAAAAGTATAAATTATGATAATCATTGAATTGTTACACGCCTGATCATATTAACACAATTATTTTTAAAAGTTTATAGTCGTATCAGTATATTTTTTTGTAGCTTAATATTAATACCTAATATTTGATATATTCGAATATTATATGAATATTTGAATATAATAATAATATATAAATTAATTTTAATCATGAACAAAGTCATGCACAATGTTTTAAACAACAATAATTTTTATTTGAATAAACAAATAGTTTGATAAAACAGCAAAATAAAATGAATAATTGAGTAATTCAAATAATTTAAATAAAATGAGTAATTCAAATAAAACAAATAAAGTGAATAAAACAAGTAATTCAAATATATCAGCAAATTATTTGAATAAAGCAGATAATTCAAATAAATCGGTAAATGATTTTGAATAATAATTGTATTACTAATATAAACTCTACTCTTATAAACAAGACCCAAAATATCAATATAAACTTTAATTAAACAGTTGATTGATTGTTCTTTCACTTGGTCAAAAAGTGACTTTTTTTTTTTTATAGAAAAATAAAAAATATATTTTCCTAATTTGGTATGTAGTACCAAATATGATTAAAACCACTACAGTTCACTCTCTCTATAACAGATCATTGGGATTAGAAAAAATATCCTTTATTATTATTATCATAGAGAATCTGGTATAGAAAAATTGTCAATAATTACATGTATGAAGTCATTTGCAATATTAACATTGATGAAACACAAAAAGAAATGTTTATTATTACTTTATTATTACATAAAAAATACTATATGATGTTAATATTAAGAAAACCATCTAATTTAGAATTGAATCCTATTTTTTGGCTTCAAGTTGTTGCTAATTCTTTGTTTATTGGAATCAGAGTTGTCTGTTTTGCTAAACAAACTTAAGATTTTCTCTTATTTAATGACATTTTAAAAAATAATGAAACAAAATAAAATAATTTAGAACTTGAATTTGTCAGATTTAAACCAAGAAATTCAATTGTACATTTTATTTGTTTTCTATATACTTTAGTTCAGTATATCATGGCTTATATCATTATTTATTTATTAAGATTTAAATAATCATAAATTAAATTTGTAGAGACCTACATTTTTTTTATTATTTTTAGATCACGTGAATCCATTATATTAATATAGTAAATTTACATAGTAATAAAATGTGATATTTTGAATTTTCATTTTAAACCAATAAGCAACGAGCATAATGCTGGCTTTAAAGTTGTGTTTGACTATCAATCGTCAAACCAATCAAAATTAGATTTTATGTGATAATTTGAAATAAGATCAACAAAAATTTGGCCAATGAAATAGTTGTTTTTGTGATCTGCAACAGTGTTTTCCGCTCACATGATGAAATGCATAATTAATATCATCCATTATAGAGGGAGAGAGATAGATAGATATTTCAAATATTAAAAATTGGATAAATGTTAGCCTGTAATAGAGGAGAATCTGGTATAGAAAGATCCATTATTATTATTATTATTAATGTAATATTAATATATGAATTGAGTTTCTGGAAGCACAATTTGGCTTGCTGTGGATGTCCTACTCATTCTTGACAATAATGACACAAATGCTCACTATTTTTTTCTATTATTTTATTTACAGGTTGGGCCCTGGTGATGGTGGAGTAGATCTTCATGGAGGGTATAAAAGATACCACATTTTAATACAATGTAAAAATAAATTGAGTATTGGTAAGTTATTTTTTTATCTACTGTTGTTCTCACACACATTTATATTAATTATTATATTTTTTTTTCATTATAAGGAGTGGGTGCTGTGTGTGATTTGAAGGCAGTGCTATCTAGATATGTCCTCAAAATACTTTATGAGTTCTAGTACACCATCTAAAAAAAATTTTTCCCTCCAAACAAGAGCTGATCTGTATATAATGTTATCATGTCTGACAAACACAATATTTATAAGATATAAATAAGTTGATTGACTACCCATGATGCTCTAAAAATTTTCTTCGTTATATTATCATTGCTTTATTATTATATATAGCAATAATTGTTACAATTAAATAAATTAGTTCTTTGATCTATAAGCAACTTACTACCACTATCTTTTTAATGATTCATTTAATGTACATATATAGCAATATTTATTGCAATTAAATAAATTATATCTTTTGATCTATAAGCAACTTACTAACATTATCTTTTTAATGATTTGTTTAATGTACATATTGTTATGTAAAAACAACCAATTGTCATTATTTTATCCTCATTTGAAAATGAAGGTTTATAAAAAATAATTCAATTTTGGGAATTTTTGAATGGTTTAAAATCCCACGATAAGATAGAAAGCTAAACTGTACTTTTATGCAGAAATAACAAATGGTTATGTATATCACTTTTATTCTGAAAATTCGATACCATCCTCAATCAACAAAGAAATCTCCCATTAGAAGTCTCTCAATTCTTGAATGAGTTAAAATTCCACAATAAGGTAGAAAGTTGAACTGTATTCTAATGTAGAAATGACTGATGGTTACATATAATATATCAAAGGCTCATCACTTTTGTACTGAAATTTATGTAATCATTGTTTGGAATTTTACAAAAAAGTATTATCTATAATGTAAACCCTATATTAGAAAAGTTAATAATAATTTATTATCCCACATTTACTAATGGTTACCCATGATTTTTCATAGTGATATTTTAAAAACCGTGAAAATATTAAATGCAAATCGTTTTAAACTTTTATTATTAATTATTACTATTGTATTATTATTTATGCAAAAAAGTGAAGACTTTAAAATTTAAAAGTTACATTATTAAAACTACAATTATTAAAAAGAGGAAATTTCTTTTTTGTATCATTATGGATCAAAGTATCCATAGCAACAAGATGTTGTTTTTCATTTACTTCTTTATATGCACGAATACCTTGTATGCTTTTATGACCTGTTGTTCAATTAATTTGGAATTCGTAATCATATCAAGTGGCATAATATAATTATAATTCTTGCGAAATTCTTCAAATTTAGTAACCCAATTTCGAGTTGATTTTTCAGTATTGCAACAATAGCCTTTTGGCGATAAAAATTAAGTTTTTCATAAATTTCAGATGGTGCTTGTTGTGAGGAAATGGTATTTGAAATACTTTGAGGAATAGAATCAACTGGTAAAGTAGAAATCGAAGCCTCGGAAACTTTTTGAGAAAGGAGCAAACTTGAATTAGTAAAAATAAGTTGAAATGTTTGTTTGGGACTTTTTTGTTCTTTATTTGTGTGAATTTGATTAAATAAAGAAATGTTTTAAGAAAGGGTGCAAAAAGGTAAATTGTAATTTTTTATCATACGCAAAAAAAATTATTTTATGTAAAATAAACTTTTTTCATCACGGGCGTTAGTCTCTGAGATAAATATCAAATGATGATTGTCTCCTTTTCCTGGGATCTTTATAGTTGCTTATATATTTAATCATTACTACATTTATCATCATAGGAATAAAAATATAAAAGGAATTTTTAATGTCTCAATTTATAGTAACCATAAACCATACTATCTATATAATATTATCTTTTTTAAAATAAATGATTTTACTATAAAAGATATACCTTAGTCTGTAAATATTCATAATAATGTAGTTATTTGGGACATGTATTTTTACTTTTGCTTGCAATAGACGCCAAACAAATTTTTAAATATATGAATATAAGCATATAAAGGCAAATCTCAAATTTGATGGTTGCTATACAACAAGGGTATCGAACGAGACATATGCGCTGATTTTGTTTGAACCCCAAAATCCAGTACGGTATGATGATAACGTTATTATTATGAATACTTTATACTAGCAAAAATTTAAGGTGGGGGCCATTGTTTGACGGGCTATCGAATGGTAAAATAGTTTTTTTAGCGGAGCAAATAAATTTTTTAGAGGTTAATTATCATTCTATTGACCAGTTTACACATCATGTTTAACGTGTTTAACGTCGAAACACAATAATATAAGGATTGAAAAAAGGATCCAAAAAACCAAATCGGTTGATATGATAATACTAGATGCTTTTTTGGGCATATCCTAAAAACAATTAGACACCCATTCATAATTATGCAGTGTGCATGACATGTGCAGCCATGCGTATCAAAAATTATTATACATAATAAATAATGAACATTAATATAAAAACACCCGGTAAATGAGATATTATTATTATAATTATAATTACCGAGACGCACTGTGTATATAATAACAGTTTTTTATTTTATCAGCTATACAGTGAATAATCATGACTAGTGAAGAATAATCTAAAACAATAATTCGTGATTCTTTAAATCTTGAGAATTCTATTACACAATTGGAAATTTTAAATGAAACGAGCATTGTGAGACAACTACTGCATCAATTATGGCTCATTCAATAGCTTATAACAAAGGATTTCATCGAAATTATTTTAACAAGGAACAATTTTGCCGTTGTTTTTCATTAAACTAATTAGAAATAAAATCCCACTTTTCTATGATAATTATCTCGAACCTTGAGCTTTTAACTTCCGTTATTTGATAAATAAAGATTGTGCTATCATGTGATCTCGTAATAATATTATAAGCCACATCAAAGGATGCAGCAAGTATTTTAAGCAAAATTATATCCAATTTTTTGAAACACATATCCATTGAAACAGATAAACAAAAAAAAATTTTCAAATGGTAAATGAGATTCACCACATTCTATACCAGGACAATAATAAAAAAATGGTTCGATATTCTTCTTGTTATTGTGAATTTTAACCGAAATCGTGTAACATTACTGATACTGTAGTATTTTTTAGGTTTGCTCCATAAATAAAGAGCGCGGGTTTAAGGGATTTATAATTCCTTATTGACCACTTAACATTGCTTTGAAGGTCGCTGCCGTGTTAAGAAGAGCTTTGATTGATATTCATCCAATTAATTTATTTAAAATTCCCAAAAATTTGAATTATTTCCAATTATAGTAATTTATTTTTTGATCTACAAGATCTGCAATAATTGTTCCAATTTTTTTATTTAAAAATTCACCAATGGTATTTTAGGGATTATTTAGGAATTATTTAAATGTATTAGTATCCTTTCCTTACATTTTACAAGTAAAAAAACAATTTCATTGAAAAATTTTTGAGCAAAATAATAATTGTTTTCATGTATTTATACTAGATGGAAAAATAGAAAAGCCCGATATTAATATAGATTTTGCCGGTCTTTAATCTAATTTTTATATAGATAGATTTTATTTATTTAAAACATCCTTTAACTAATTATTTATTTGTTATATACACATTTATACATATATTCATTCACATTCATGCATACATAAACATTACACTATAGAAAAAATGTTTAAATCATCATTAATTAAACAAAGAGGAAGAGGTAGTTTAAAAAGAGGCTTAAGTTCAAAAAAGAAACCAAAAGGAAATTCTTCGATTCCTATTATAACAATTATTGAGGCTGAATTTATAATTAATTTACTTGTACGAGAAATTTTTTCAAGAGGTTGGTTGGTTGGTTGTGTATTAATTAATTAAGATTACCAATAATTTATTCATTATCAATTGATTGTTATCAACATCATCGTTGATTAAACATCAATTATATATAAATTCACCAACTCACTCACACTCTTATAACTTGTTCACGTGACTGTACGAACGCAGGTTTAACCGAAGCCAACATTTATATTTATAAGATATTTAGTCCAGCTAAAACAAACGAACAATTTGACGAGGTCGGGTATCTTGTGGATTGTATTTTAAGAGGTGATAAAAGGGAATACGAGGAAGAACTTAAATTTCAAGATTTACATAATATCGCTTTGGGAATTAGATGGACACTGGAGAATTGTAATGTACCATTAGTACCATATCAAAATTATAAAGATTTTGTTAGTAATGAACAAGGTAATTTTATCAAGACATTAGTTATAATATAAAATTGTTAAAATAATAAATTTTCTCATTTTCTTTTTTTCCATCCATCTCTCTCACACCCACCATCATCTATCTATTCTCCTATTCGTTTAACATCTTTAAGACTGGCAATATGATCCTAAAAAAGGATCATTCAATCAATTCATAGCATCATTATTCAAGTCAAATCAACAAATACTCTTGTCAATATTTGATTTGTTCTCTCAACTAATCATCATTTCACCATCAAATCACAATAATAAGATGTTTGTGACAATGAAACTAATCAAATCAGTCTCAATGTGCATAATTAAAGATGAGGTAAACAACAACAACAATAATGCCGGCGACACTAACAACAATGATGTTTTACTAGGATCATCATCACCACCATTATCACCGTTTGAAACTGCTTATAAAAAATGGTTAAAGACCTCAAATAATTTATTACATTTATTTCTTGCGTATTTAAGAGAGATATCTGTTTCATCAAATGAAACAAATCTTGATCCAAAATTGTCATTTTTATTGGATAATTATGTTGAGAACAGAAGAAAATGCTTGTTAAATCCTAATACCGAATATTATTCTTTAGTTGACACTTCCAATAAACAAGATTTGGGTTCGATATTAGTAAAAAAATCATCAAAGGAAGCACTTCCAGACAATTACCAAGTAAATAATAGTATTAGTAATTTATTATCTTCTATCGCTGGTCCTTCAGTTTCAAGAAAACCTTCAACGATTAAATTTTCAGAACCGATTGCAAAAATCAACAACAATAATATTGATAATCAGCAACTAAATCAACAACAATTATCTTCTTCGCCATATGCAAGAAACAATCATAGTAGTAATAATAATAGCAAAATCTCATTGGTCGAGACTTTCAATGCATTAAAACGTCGTACCAGTTTAATGGTTGGTGAGAAATCAATCGAACAAAAATGGTCCGACTTGCAAAATGAAGGAATTGATTTATTATCTGAACCAGCCCTCAAGTTGTTTTTCGTTTTTGATGAAAGGGATGAGTCTCCGACATTATCATCAAATTCATCATTAAATTTGTCACGTAAAAAATCCAACAATAGTAAAAAATCATATAGGTTTAATAATAATGATAATATCAATAATCCAAAAATTGAATATTTATACGATGATAATGATGATGATGGTAATAACAATAGTAATAAAAATTTATTTTCAACAAGCCATTTGAAAAGAAAAAATTCCAATAACAACAGCAATCCTAATATTCGCCATTCTAATTTCAAACAATCATTTTTATGGGAAGAATTTAAAAATATTGGATTCAAAGATCCAGATGATAATGTTTTAAGTATTGGTTCAACATTAGGCACAAGCATAAGTGAATCATTATCTGATAATAATAACAATGATTTGAGTTACTCATCATCATTTTCTATTGCAAATAACAACAACAATAACGACAAAAGAGATTTGAAGTTTTTATGTATTAGAATAAAAAGAAACAAAAGAAATAGGCGCAGTAAGAATAATAGTGATAGTAAAGAATTTCAAGAAGCGGTAGAAGAAGAAGATGATTACTTGATAATTGAAGCAATTGATGAAATATCACCATTTGTTTGGATCGAAAATTCGCAAAATCAAATAGAAAAAATGAGCGAATGGGTGATTTTGGAAACTAAAGGTGGAATAGAATTTAATGAACCGGATTGGATTTTATTAAATGATAAACAAAAGTTTTTAACTGAACTTGAGGAACGATCAACAAATCGTCATAAATTAAATCAGGGGGAAAAAATAGGCAACAATGATGGCAACGATTTGTTGAGCGAATGGGAGAAACTTAATAATAATAATAATAATAATAATAATAATAATAATAATAATAATAATAATAATTATAATTCGAGAGTTGGGAGTATTAGAATGTCAATATTAAATGGGCTTAATTTGCCCTGGACAAAATTATTACTAACAAATCGACTTAGTAAATTTAATTCCAGCAATCAAAATCTAACAAATGATAATGACAATAATAAAAAATTATTACCAGATAAAAATGTTGAAAAGGATACTGTTGTCGTTGATAATCATAAGGGTGATAACAATAAGGACAATGACAACAACAGCAACAATAATAATAATAACAACAACAATGATAACAATTTTGAGATTATAATCGAAGAAAAGGAAGATTCTGAAGATTTACAAAAAGATGACGACGACGACAATAATGATAAAGATGACTTGTACGATTATTACACAAATGAAAATTACTCTTCGCCATATATCAACAATGATAATGATGATAATGATGGTGATAATGATGATGGCAGTAATAAAGTCGACAAGGACAATAATAATGATCAACAGGAATTTATTATTAATGATGATGATTATGCTATCGATGATAATGAAGCAATTGAAGAAATAGAAAATTACCACAATCAATATAATCAATATCAGTATCCATATGGATATTCTAAACTCCCACAACGTCATCCACGCCCTCAATATCCCAAATATCCACCTCAATTCCCACCACCTCAATTCCCACCACCTCAATTCCCACCACATCAGTTCCCACCACATCAGTTCCCACCTCGATTCGCACCACATCAATTTCCACCACCTCAATTCCCTCAATACTCTCAATACCCTCAATACCACCAATATCCACCACGCCCTAATCAATATTCTGGTCAATATTCTGATAAAAGTAACTATGATAATATTGAGGAAGTGGGAGATGCTGAAGCCGGTGCAAGTGTTGGTGTTGGAATCGGAACAACAAGTACAGCTACTCCTGCAACTACTACCAAAAATACCAAGATTGTAACAGGAGAAAATGAGTCAAGTGGAATAGTGGAGACATTAAATGAAGACGACGAAAGCCCTATTGATTATGAATATCAACCATCAGCTACAGAAGCACCAAAATCGGCAGCAACAGACTCACCTTCTCTTCCTCCTTCTTCTTCAGCATCATCAATAGCAATTGATAATTATTATTATCAATATGAGGATGATAATGATCTTCAATATAATGCCATCTCTTCATCATCGTCAACATCTACAACTGCAAAGAAAATAAGACAACAAAATTATCAACAACCTCCATATGGATATTATTACCCTTCCCCTCCAACATTGCCACCACCGCATCTTGCCAGTAGTGTTCGTAACAGTATTCGCAGTAGTAATAGCAGTAAAAGCGGCAGTATTGGAAGTGGTGGATATGTAGCACAAAGTAGAATGGTCCAACCTCAACTTCTCCCAAGACCAAAAAACCATCAAACATTTTATAAAGGTTATAATCAAACGTACATGCCTACAAATAATCCAACACCAATGTCTGTCGGGTATCCTTACAATAACAATATTTATCGACCACCACCACCATCATCATCAATATCATCCATCCCCATCTTATCTTCAAAAAATAAAGGCAAAAATGTTTATTAATCCTATTTAGGATTCATTTTTAATCAGTTATGTATTTAAAATTTCTATTCATTTATCACGTATATATATAGTATTATTTTAATTTATATAAATATTTATTCTTTGAAACTACAAAAAAAAAAAAAAAAAAAAAAAAATCAAACTCCTTTAACCAATTGGAACAATTCATATTCTTCAATTGAAAAAAAATTATCATCTGTATTCCTAATAGACTCTAAATAGTAACTTTTTTTGCAAGATGAAGTTTTAAAATTAAAATGATCTCCCAATTTCAAATCACCATTCCCAAATTGTGGTCCACTATAATTACTAATTAAAAATGCTTTCTCCGAGAAATCCGGATTAATTCTACTCAATCTAGCAGAATCCCATTTATTCGGATCGGTGTCCATCGAGAAGATAAAACTGTTGTTGGCTGGTCTCCAAAAGCTTTTATCCTTTATAGATCGATCATGTCCCCAATGTGTTGGATTATATCCACCCAATATTTCATTGGTTCCGCTAACTTTTATGATTAGCAGTGTGTTTGGGATGGTACCACTTTTTAATCTAAAAATTTCCGCGGCAAACCCATCTTCACTTCCACGACATTTCAAAGCGAATTTGTATGGAATTTGCGAATTGTAATAAATAACATGCCGTTGATCTAACCAACTGGAAATTAAAGCTACATGTTTCACTTTTAAAATTATGGAATCTATCGCTCCTTTTCTCAAAGTAGCAGATGTTGAGATCGAAGAAGGGACGGTCAAAGATGAATTTATTTTCTTTTGTGGTAAAATATAATTCCATAAAATATTTTCATAGAATGCATGATTTGTGAATATTGATCTGTAAGGTTGGACCTTTTCATAAAATTCATTTGCTAAAATATTATTAAATCTTATCAAAGGTAAAATGTTTTCCATCGATTTGCTAACTCGTTGAAAATCTTCAGTGCTCCAATCTTTGATATCTTTTTTTGATAAATCGTTATTTGATTTTGCCCAATCTATCATAAATTCCCAAATTTCAATCTCGTCCATCAAAAAATCTTCGTGTTTCAACAATCCTACAAACAACACATCATCTTCCAAGTACAAATGTTTATTTGAATCGAAAAGGATTTGTGGATTTTGGGCAAATAAATTAATGGCAAATGTTTGTAATTCTTTACATATCTTCAGTCTAACCGTCATGGATAAATAATGGATTCCAAAACCCTTTTTCGACCATCTCCGATGATTATTTATTAAATAAGTTTCTATTTCCTTGATAAAATCTTCATCTGCTGGCACCAATAACTCAAATATATTTGTAATTTCTACCTCATCAAAATTTATTGGTTTATTGTATAAAAATCCAATTGTTTTTTTATGATTGATGCCGGAAAGAAAATTATTGTAAAAAAAAAAAAAAAAAAATCAAAAAAAAAAAAACTTTACAATTAATTCAAAATCCTCGGCACTAATATTAGGTTTCTCTAAAATAATTAGTCCATCATTATTTTCGTCTTTTTTGACCCATTCACTTGAAAATGCACTTGTGAAATATGGTGAATTCTTTTTTAAAATTTCTGAATGTAATTTAAACGTCTTGCTGCTTTTAGGTTCATCATCACCACCACCTCCTACTTTGAACAATGTATCATAATCATCATCATCATTACCACTATTACTATGGGAAGCAGGTGATGATGACATTTTTGATTTTCTTGTCACTAACTTTCTTAGTAGAATCCTTATTTTTGTAAAACAATTGACTATTGAAAATCATTTCCATACCTGGCGTTTTTCCGCTGTGCTTAACCGTTTTCCAAATAATTAGATTACTATATATATATTTTATATTATGACAAAAAATTCTAAACCTGTCGATCAATTAAAGGGTGGCCGTGGTGCAAATTACTGTAATTTTTTGATCATTTAAAAAACTAAAAATAACTCAATTGTTTTATATATCAAGAGATAAGGAAGGGAGGAGAAAACAACAACAAAACAAAACAAAACAAAACAAAAACAAATTTGTTGAAATAGAAATGGATTGTTTTACATTATACAAATTATTTAAAACATATGTGAGAATGAGAATTTGTAAAGTTGTAATATGAAGAAAAGAGGGAAATAAACCTTAAAAGGTTAAATGTTTTGTTGTTGTTGTTTTTGTTGTAAACATTGCTCGAATATTTGCCTCGGAAACATGTATCACCATCACAAGTTTAATCACAACTCTTTAGTAATGGTGATGGTGGTGCAAAGTGTTAAGAGTGTGTGGTATTGCATTTATTTTGACGTTGCACAAATTTAATCACCACCAATTTAATTAATTTAAAAGAAATAAGCACTATAATTACATATGCGTAAGCCGTGACACGACATTTTAAACCAATATTTAAAATTCCAAGTTCCTTCTTATATTATTTGCTGTTTATATAAAGTAGTTAGGTACGAGATGATAATTGATTGCAGATGATGAGCGTGAATTAATTAACTAATCAATCAATCAATCCGATTGATTGTTAGCGTGAATTAGCAAGAAAAAGAATAAAAAACGAAAATAATGAGTAAACATTTTGTTGTTCTCGTTGTCGTTGCTAATTGATTGATTGAAAATAAATATTATTATTATTTGCTGTGTATTGTTGTAATTCAATTCATACATACGTTACATATCTACATATACTAATCACTCGCTAACTAATTAAACACTTAATTAAACGGTTTTACAATCACAAAAAAAAAATATTTTTTTTTTGCCAACCAACTTTTTTACTTATCTCCTTTTAATTTTTTTTTTTTTTTTGCAATTTTTCAAATTTTTATTATTATATTCGCTTTATTCATTATAACAATTTAAAACAATTAAAAAATAAAATTTATTATAAAATTTTTAGACAATTGAATAATCATTATTCTTCCCAGGTTGGAATAAATTATCTTTTTCTAGATACATTATCATTATTATCACATTATCTCATTTTTTATATAATTATATATTGCAAACACACAAATATAAATAAATAGTAAATTAAATTTAAAAAACCTCCAAAAAAAAATTTATTTATTTATTTATTTTATTTTATTTTATTTTATTTTATTTTTATGATTTAATATTTTTTAAAAAATAAATTATTATAATATAAAAAAAAATGGATGAAAAGCAAATTTTAAATATAAAGATCAGTCCAAATTCCGATAAATTATTAATTAACAATAATGATAATAATAATGATAATAATAATAATAATGTAAAAATTGAATCACAACAAAAAAGCAGTAATGTTAAGGGCACTAATAAGAGCAATCATAAGAGTGTTAATAGAAATAATTCAATTTCAAGCATTAAACCAAAAAATAATAATAGTAATAAGTCGAATTCTAATTCTAATGCTAGCTCTAATAATTCCAGTTCTAATGCTAGCTCCAATTCATCAAAAATTGCCAATTCAAAAGAGAAATCATCAGAAATTTCAAAAAAATCAGAGAAAAAATTATCTCAATTAGAAAGGAAAAAAAGTATTGCCAATGAAAATGAAGACTCAACTACAACAACAACAGCAACAACAACAACAATTACTACTAATATACCAAAAAAGAATGCCGTAAACACAAATAATAATGGTAGTAATAATAAAAGTTCAAAAAAATCCAAAAATAATAGTACTAACAACAGCAGTAGCAGCAGCAACGGAGATGTTGAATCTTCTACAACTTCAAATTCTTCCTCCTCGGCAGGAAATTTATTGAATCGTAGACAAAATCCTCCGTTGAAACTAAATTTAACAATAAAAAATCGTAAAAATTCTACTTCTTCAAATGGCCAAAGCTCCCCAAAAGATTCGAATAATAATAAATCCACAAACAGTTCAACTGCTACCAATTCAGCCAACATCACTTCAGGACCTTCTACTACTACTAGCCCCACCAACAATAATGCTAGAATTAATTCTTCTACTCCTCCTTTAATGTCACCAAAAATTATTGAATTACGCAGATCAGAATCATTTTCCTCCAACAAATCTAGTAAAAGTTCCGATGACTCTTCCTCCTCCTCAACAGTAAATTCTTCACAGCCTAACAATAAGAAAAAACCAAAATCTTCAAAATCATTAGCAACTACAACAGAAACTGCTTCTGCGACCACAGGAACAGCAACTCTTGTACTTAATGGCATTGCACCTAAAGGTCGCAGTCATTTTAATACAAATAGAAATCTTGTAAAAAAATCTAAAGGTGCTAAAAATGTTAGTAATAGAGTTTCACCAAAAGATGAAATCAATAAAGAGTTATTGGCTAGATTGGAAGAACAAAATTCTCAATTGCCTCCTCAGGTAAATGAATACAAATTCGTTCATCATTTCATTTCATTCTTTATAGAGAGCTATTTATTTATATTTAATAAAAAAATTATTTTATTTTATTTAGGATTCAACACAATTTTTGTTGGCAAGGCTTGAAAGACAAAATGAATTATTAGATAATGATCCAAAATCTGTTTGTATAGAATCTAATGTTCTTAAAGCAAATTTAGAAACTGTACAGTCGTTAATTGATGACATCACAAGTCCATCACCCACCGATGATGCCACCGACATTGTTAGTAATAATTTAGAAGAACTCATTACTGATAATATTAAAATTAAAATTAATAATAGTAATAATAGTAATAGTAATAAATTAGCAATCGAATCTATGAAAACAATTGATTGGGACTTCTGGACTGCTTTAATTCAAGATTATAATTCTGTCGCAACAAAGTTACCACATTTGTTAACAGCAAAATTACAACAAGGTTTACCACCTAAATTGAGAGGATTGATCTGGCAATCAATGTCTCAAGCTTCTTCCACCTACTTGGAAACAATGTACTCGCAACTATTAAACGAGTCATCACCTTACGATCGTATAATTCAACGTGATTTGGCTAGAACGTTTCCTACCATTGAGATGTTCAAGAAGGAAAATGGAAAAGGCCAAACTATGCTTTGGAATGTGTTAAAAGCCTATAGTCTTTATGATCCTTTGGTTGGATATTGTCAAGGTTT